TCCTGGGCGAAGGACATAACGCTGGGACGAAAGAGAATAGAGAGAGAGAGAGAGAGAGAGACAGAAGGTACGGATAAAGGGGAAACGTAGCAAAGGTTATTTGCACCGAGTTGTCTTTTTTCAGTGCTTTTTGTTCGAACAGTTTGTCGAACGGCTCAGCCGGCTGATCTTCGGGATGATGAGCATGAACTACATTCTATATAAAATCCGGCAGCGCTTCTCTCAAGCGCCAAAGCACGAATGCGCTTTCGCGCGCATCGATCGTTTAACGAGAGTCGTCCTTAAGCGTCTGTGCGAGAAGAGATTTCGGGAACGACTTTGGCGCCCGCAGAAAAGGGATGACCTCCCGAATATCCGGGGCTGATCTCCCTCGTCGAGATCCTTGGAAGATTGCACGCGGAGGTTATAATTCGCGACTTAATTCCCGTGTCGAGAGGTCTGTCTCGTCGCTTTGTTTAAGTCTCGGTATACCTTCGATTTATGAGTCTCTCGCGTTAAACACATATACATTTCCGTTTATTCCCGATGTGCTGGCTAATCGAATTGTCGGATTCATGAATGTATGATGTGTTTGTATTGTTTCTAGTACAATATATAAAACGAGTGATTTTGATTCGTTAATTAATTAAGTACGATGTACGCGTTGTATTTTGGAATCTCTGCCGCTGAAAACATTTGTCTGCTCATCTGCCGACAGAATTTCAGTCACGAATGGAACTCGCTGAGGAATAATCCGCAGCTGCGAGCGTTTGTCTCGTTTAGTAACGAGGATAATAATCTTTAAGTGCCGTCTTATATTAATTGAAACCGGCGTAGCGAGTGCACAAGATAACAGAGGTGCAAACGCCTGTCTGTTTTGGCGTTACAAGCAGGATAAGCTATAATGAATATAAGTAGATAGCAGCCAATTTTCTTTGTCTCGATGGAGTGCTCGCTAAAATTACACAACGTGCGATAACCGAAAAAAATTTTCCCACGAATATAGATCGCGTTATAAAAGTCAATCTTAATATTACCGCAAATATTGTCGCAAAATTTCGCGAATAAAAAAAATCGGCAGTGAAATTGCTACCGATTAATTAATTAATCGTGTCAAACTAGGATCGGTGGTTCTTACTTTAATGCTATGTAATACCTGTAATACCACTATCGATTTGATGCAGATCTCTTAATGCTACCGGGAGTAGATTACGGTTTAAAAACTGTGCGAGAGCGTTTCATGCGCCTTATCGCGTAATTTGAGTTAAAACCGGCAATAAATCTGTTAATCTTTCCATCCATATTGTCCTGTTGTTTGCAGAAATAATTTTAGCGTTTTATCAATTATAAACAAAGGATAAATAATTTTGGAAAATAATTCTCAATTATAAACAAAAAATAAATAATTTTGGAAAACGATTCTCTCTTTCTTTTTCCTTTTTCTATACCATATCTTCAGTGTCAAAAATGTATATAGATAATCCGCTTACAAAGTATCTTATTTATATTATCAACATAATTAGAGACCGAGTCATATTTGTATTACGTGAGCTTCAACAATCTCTCTCTCTCTCTCTCTCTCTCTCTCTCTCTCTCTCTCTCTAATTATTCTTTTCAAACAAATAAGTTTTTAGACAATCTTCTTGCTATAAAATAAGACGAAACAACTAACAAGTGTAATTTCTTTTGTCAATTTTCAGCTTTAGTAGTAGAAAGTACATATATGAATATTTGCTCCGTATGTACAAATGATTTTTTCTCCCCATTTCGCATCTTTGCGCAAATGCAAGAGAGGACATCAAACATTCTGCGGCGAACCACTTTTCACATACACACGCACATACATACACGACACTATTTACGTTAGCGCCACGTGTGTCCGGAATCGCTAATTCCCACGAACTGCAAAACGAGAGATAGAAAGAGAACGAAACCCCTGCCACGTCGATACGTCATCGCGTATGTCAAAAAGGGACGACGCGCGTCTCGTCCGTCTCGTCGTCGACGTCGAAATCGATAGCACAGACGCAGGTGCAAGAACTCGACGGAAATAGCGGCGCCTCGTCAGGATACACGTACGACGCGCGTATAGTCCCGATCTGTCAATGAGGAAAATTGGCGTAAGAGCGCATGAATGGACCCCGGTAGTGAATAAAGTGGCCGCGGCGTTAGTATAGGTTTATGGAAGCAAGCCGGTTTTAGCTACGCTAATAGCATAGTAATGCTGGCTGATCTTTTCGAAATCCCGTAAGAGCATTAACCGCTCGCACGTGAGCAAGTTAAATTGCTATGTTGCGGGTATACCGCGGGTATGTAGCTATCACCTGGCTACAGAGCGCGTCAAAAGGAAGGGTGGAGGAACGTCGACGGATCCGGGGGGAATCCGGAGACCCCGCGGTCCGAGGGAGAAAAATTATTCGCGCTGCGGCGTCTTCGAGCGGTAACGAGATTAAGGCGTCGAGATCCAACGCGAGAGGACGAACGTCGAAGAGCGCCGAAGAATCTCCAGTCTCTCCGAGATTATTACCGCGCGTGCCATCGGCTTTTGAGACAGGCTGTAGTAATGTGATTTTCGATAACCTGCTAATAAGGCACGATCTGTATTCCGTGCGTGTGCGTTCAATGTTAGGGTGGACGGAAATTATAGCGCGTGCAGATTTGATTGCCGCTATATAGAAATGTTAGAAAATAAACAATTTCTCACTCACCGATAGGTGCAATAACGGAGTTGCAGCGCATTGATCTAAAAACAAATATTTCAATTATATATAGGGAAATGCCTACTAATGTGCAATAACTATTTCATAGTTTTTTTTCGCATTCTTTAAAGAGATATTTGAACAAATATAACAAAATATATGTTTCTTCAAAGAAATGTTATTACATATTTATTTTGTATACCTTAGAGTGCCCCGCTGTTGCTCGCGGCACTCGCGAAAACACGAATAATTACGATCGCCCGACACTTTATACGGCACTCCCGACGCGACGCGACGAGTGCCGTTCGGCACTCGAAAATCTCGTAGTTAAAAACTCGCGCGTAGCTTACCTGTAATAATAAAATTCATACGTATTATCATAGAGATACTTGAACAAATATGACAAAATTTATATGTTTCTTAAAAGAAATGTTATATATCTTTTTGTATACCTCATAGTTGTCTCGTTGTTGCCCGATGCCTCCCCGGGTCTCCTCCTTCTCTCTTGGTCTTTCGTAGCACTCATGACACTCGCGAAAACACGAATAATTACGATCGAATAATTACGACACTTATATTTATGCGGCACTCCCGACAAGCGAAACTTTACGCAGCACTCTCGACACGACGCGTGAATCGCAATGTTACCTGTAACAAAAAATACATATTTATATATTAAAATAATTTTATCATTTTGCATTATAACATACACGATATAAATAATGTAAGCTAGAATTAATACGAACAGATTAGGTTAAATTGAGTTATATTGGCATAGATTTTGCATCGAAGTTTTTGCGAAATGTGCGTTTCGAATAATTATGACTGCATGTGAACGTCGAAATTATGATATGCGATTGATAAATATTACGCAAAGATTAGAAATGATTATGATTACTAAAAATAAAACGGAACGATGCTCGCACTATATAGAACTCGCGGCGTTTCGATAATGACTGAAGTTATTCGCTATTCTAATTTTACAAACATCGGCAACTTCATTTTAATAGCGCGCGCGATTTAATACTAATAACTAATTAAAACTCGAAGGAAATTCGTTCTAGCTTTAGAATAAATATAATTCTCGAAAATCGATTCTTTTTAAAACTTATATGTAACATATTTTTTATAATCCTGATAATTAATGATAATGAAAATGTTGTAAGACAAAATGAGACACTGTGTGAAACTGCGTCTTTTTGTCTCAAGGCATTTTTGTTGCTTTATAACTGTAACTATTTGTTTAAAGTTTAAACTATCAAGAAATATAAAACTATTGGAAAATAAAGCCAGAGCTCTTAATTGTTTATGAGCTTCCACGAAATCAGACGCCAGCTTTACACACATCGTAATTACTACGTTCTCTCGTGCTTTACAAATATAATGTAACACGAACATTTTATACAATATATGTCGTATATTTTTCTTTATGATAAATTATTACCTATATATTATTATAAGAATTTAATACGACTTTGTCATATGTATCGAATGTGTTAAATATATTATAATTTGTATTTATGTATAAGCAAAGTAAATGCGATTGAATGGATTAAATTGAATGAAAGTTTATTGTCAAAGAGTTTGATAATTTTCTCTCAAAAAATACAAAGAATAATAGAAAAATGATAAAGTATTCTAACATTATCTAACATTTAATAATGCTCTATCACTAGTATTTCTCTCTTTTTTTTAAATAGCGAGAAATTTAATTTCAAACCTATTACTTTTGCAGATATAAATAAAATGTACGAAATTTTTGTTTATAATATATGGGTAACTGATCTCTCTCTCTCATTCAATCTTTTCTACATATTCCGCGGAAAAATTTTAATCTCGACAAATCATCGCGAGCGGAAGTCAATTGCTCTCTCGCCAAGAAGTGCCAAAACATGCTCGCTCTTAACGTAGCAAAGTAATGGCCAGTGAGAGAAAGAGAGAGAAGGGGGATGGGGATGAAAGAGAGAGAGAGACTCTTACCTATTTTCTCGTAATCTATTCGCACACTCTTTCAAGCTCGAAAGATATATCGCGGACGCAAGCGTAGGAAGTCCGCGTTGAAAAAGGGATAGGGAAGAAGAGAAGAGAGAGAAGACTCTCCGGGTTTGAGTATATTTTTAGAGACGGACTGTACGTAACGCCGTTGTCACACGCGCGTTGCCATCGCGGTCGTCGAGGTCGGCGTACCCCGGGGTTACCATTGGATCCCCGCCATGCTGTTGCAGGGATGTTGGTACTGCCTCTCTGCCACGCCAATTCCGGAACGAGTCGACGCGGTTCGACACGAGCGCGGAATTCACCTACCCTCTCTCTCTCGCACCGGAATTCACCATCCCTCCCGCTACCGTCCTTTTCCATCCCCTCTCGTTGGTTGAGCGCGCGCAAGAGGTGGTCTCCCTCTCTTCATTCACTGTCTGCCTCTCTGCCTGTCAGCCGCATTTTCCTTCTCTCGCTTCCGCATTCGCCTCTCTCGTAGCGTCGCGGCCGGTATCTCTCTGTCGGTTTTGCAACCCCCATCCCTTCTCCATGCTCTCCCTCGACGTCGAGACTCGTCCCTCCCCCGCTGACGGCCGGCGCACACGAGCGTCCCCCTCGCGCATAACCCCTCGACCAAGAGAGCGATCCGTAACAACTAAAGTTCTCGTGAAAAGTTGAGCCGGGCGCTCTCCTACGCCCTCCTGCTATAATAGCCGCTCGCGCGCTGGTCTCTGTACGGACCATCGTCGTCGTCTCTCGTCTCGGTTGTCTCCGTCCATCTGTCCCACATTCCGTGAGACGGAGAGAGAGAGAGAGAGAGGGACGTACGCGGATAAAGGGAGGGAACGGGAGAGAAAGCGAGAGGAAGGAAGAAAGGGCAAGCGCGAGACAGAGAGGGAGAAAGAGAGAAGCCGCGCCGTGGACGACTCCGACGGATTAGGGAATAGAATAGTCATTATCGTGTATACATCCGTATTCTACGAGCTATCGGTCGCGCTCTCGTTCTCGGAGAGTTGTTGGTCGTCGTCCCGTTGGTGGTGTGGCGAGAGACGACGCCGGTTTTCGCAGTGGTGTGCGCGAGATCGAACCCGACCTAGCCCGTCTCTTTTCTGACATTGGAGCGCGCGCCGGCAGAGTATTGCGCGTCGGGCCACGGTGTGTGTTGGTTGGAGTGCGAGTTCGGGGGCTTCGTCTGGATTAATCGGGCTCAAGACGAGGAATATCGACGCGGGAGCACCGGCGCCGGCCAATTACGATCGGGTGAGTACGACATCTCATCCTCTACCGCGAGATTTCGGGGAGAGACCGGAACTCTCGGAGCACTCCGTTCTCGTTGTACGAGAAGTCTCCGCTGATCCAGCAGGTTCCGCGACTCCGGGTTAAGGAAAGACGAACCTGGATTTAAAAAACTCACGCTCCGATCACATTTTCGATGTCATTTTCGCCTTTCCCGGCCATCGAGATGATCTTCCTATACCTTCTGTTGCGAATCGTCTGACCTACATTCTCCACGTGTATATCGTATAGATATTGTGTTCATCCGTCATTCGCACAACACGATGCTCCGATTGCTCGGCATTAATCAATAAGATCGCATCTTCTAATGGGATAATCGAGAGATTGACCTAATTTCGTCGCCACGAATTTTGATAAACGTGCCTTTAGTGTGATGCGAAACATCGATTATATTTTTAGCTTGTCGTCAGTCTTATCTCGCTACGGTAATCTACAGATATGAAAAGGTGAATTTGAATCTTCGAGTCTATAATTTCCGCATTTATATTTGGTCCCACTTTCTATTTTCACGGTATCATCATCGTAATCTCTTGTTAAGCAGTCGCTGTGCATTTGAGACTTTAAGTGAAAGCGAGCGGCATTGCAATGATGACAACCAAATGTACGCATCTCTCTATTAAATATAATCACCAGATTAATAATCACTAAATCGTAAGTTTCATCGTAGATAATAATCGAGTGTGTTGTTTATCACCGCATCGCCAATCACCAATGACATTTTGTATCGATCAAATAACTCGTTTCGTAACAGCTACGCAAGGCTTCCTCTACGTTCGTACAATAATTTAGATTTTTAACAATTTAATATTTTTATCTTGTCAAATTGCAAGAGCATTATAAAACGATCGAGTTTTGCCTGTACAGATATTCGAAGCGATATATAATAAAATATTGTATTGGAGAAAGGTAAAGGTATGTAGCCGAAAATCTCGTGCCATTTATATACAAAATATATATATATATATTATTTAGAGACAAATAAATTCGCACGAGCACAATTTAATATTTCACATTTTGATAACACTCGACGATTTAGGTTTCTCATTTAAAATGCCATCTTTCTTACCAAAAACTCATGATTAATAATCACTCTCGACTATGTCGGGCTCTCTCCCGCGCAATCGAATTCGACCGCGTATACGCCACGGTTTTTATGATTTCTGCGGATTGCGGATATCCTCTGCGATTACTTCCCGCGGTAAACGAAAAAAAAGAGAGAGACAGAGAGAATCCCGGCCGAGCGAATCAACCGAATTCGGGCGCTGCGGTGCGCGAATACCTCGAAAACGCCGACATTTAATCGGCGAGGCGTACATGGAAGCTTTCATCCGGCCAAAGAGAGAATGTATAAATTCGCGGACGAACTTGTTTCGAAATAACCGTGCGAAATTCCGCACAGCGAGGGGAATTTCGCGAGCGTGACGGGGAAAAAGTGTGTATGGACCCGTGAAATACGCGACGTTAACATTTACGCGCGAAAAGAAATATACCGTATTCGCCGGGAGGGACTATTAATTGAATCCGCACCCGCGGGGATTATTAGCTGACGTAAAATACACACAAAAAAAAAGTCGGCCGTTAGAAAAAAGTTCCGCTATTTTTCGCATTTTGCACGATTAATAATTCCGCACTAATCGCGGCGCTGTATTTTTGATGAAAAAATAAAAAAAAAAAAAGAAAAATATCTGTTGTTATTTCGAGAATAGTCAAGCCGATAAAAATTCCGAGCTTTTTCAGAGTGCAACAAGACACATCATCGGCGCCGAGGTTGAAACCCATCATTCTCTCATCTCTCTGTGAAAATTCGTTACGCTCTTCTACATATACATAAACAATTGAATTAGTAAACCCGATTTCATCGGCAGCTTATGATCATCACCAGAATGATCACACGCACCTGTGACATTGATTATTGTACGAAAATAAACAAACAAACCCTACTCTAAGCTTACATCTGCTTTACTTTTGACATTGCTATATCAATGTTATTATATATATATAATCGACAACTTTACTCATATATGAATGACTTGTCAATTTAATTTAGATTATAATAATCGAACACGAGAATATCGACGGATCTTCGTATTAATAACGTAGGCATTTCGCATATAAGAGAAGCAGCTGTCGCGCTGCTTTTCCGATGCTATATAGTCAACGGCTCTCGTCAGGATCTATTTTACGTAGCACGATGCGCTTGATACCTCAATAATCTTATCTACGATGTCCGACGGCTGCTGTCAGAGCAGATCTTGTAGCTCGCTACGGCGAGCTTCGACTATTTCCGTTCGCGCCTGCAATTCCGCGGGAAGTTTCGGTTCCGAAACGCGCTGCAGCATGGTAGCGTGCCGAGAGAGTTGGCCAGCGGGATTTCCACGGAAATAATCTGCTTACGGTAATCTTCTTGGCTTGCCGCTGCTCTCTGCCTCCCTCCCGTTTAAGGTCCGCCTTCCACGAGGAGGTCCTTCGTCTTCTTGTCATCGTCATCGTCGTCGTCGTCGTCGTCTACACACGCTAGCGCGTTCTCCGCAGGACGATCCTAGTCGCTTCCTGATCCTCGAATCTAATGCGGGAAGTCTGTCGCGAGCGCGTCCGATCGACTCCGAAACGAAAGCGTGTTTTTCGGTGGAGAACAAAGAGTGCTGACTATATGTCGTCGACTTTTGCGACTATCGCGGAACAATTTCGTGCAAACTGTTTTAAAGAGAAACGTGCGACGACGGTTACCGATTTTTCAGAAATTCGATCGTTTTGAAGGAAATGTCAAAGAAACTCTGAATTAGGGTGAAGAAATATTTAGATGAGAATTTTTCATGGAGAAACGTTCGAAAATATTGCAAGAATGGTTGGGTCATATCGTTAAGGAAGAATCTTATCCAATTTTGTTCCGTCTTTAAATTTTAGTTTGTAAAGGGAGTTTATAAAAAAATTATCACCTCGTTTTACGAATGCAATATTGCTCACGCTTTGAATACGCGGCTACCTGAGACTGTTCGAAAGGGGCAAAACGAAGCTCGATCGTCGTGAATGTAAAGATATTACCGTACATTATATGTATCGAATCGAGACGAAGCAAATGTGTGAAGATTTCGCGATAAATATAAAGTGAACATGACATTCCTGAGCGTCAAGAAGGACATGGCGAATTGAACGAGTGCATCGTAAATGATAAATTATTTCGAGGAAAGATAATTCTATATAAGATCGCGCGCGGCGAAAAAATATTTGAATAATTGGCAAAGTTGATAATTTATACTCGCAGCTTTCTGAGAAATATTCTTGCAAATAAAGTGTAAAAAGGTTGAATTTATATATTGTATTATTATCTTGTCGGTGCTTTACGATTAAAAATAAGGTTGAAAAGTAATAATTTAAATCACGACACGCGGATGCTTTTAATTATACACGGTCGCTTCGATGCTGAAAAATATATCGAAGCCGAACAACAATGCTGACAAGTGTTTCGAGGGCTTCCACGACGAGAACTGCGCATGCAAGGACAAAGTTGATCTTTCACGTTAACAAATAATTTTTTTATTTTCGCGCAATAAGATCTAACATCCTAGACATACCATGGAGCAATTAAGCGATGGATTTAATTATAAGAAGAGTATACTTAAATTTTGACTTGAAAAAAAATGAGACTTGTAACTTAAACTCACATAAACTGACTATTATATCGATTATATAAAAGACCCCGCCCTTTTAAGCGAAGATTTTAAAGACGCCATAGTCCTTCTTGATTTGCTGCCACGGATTCAATCTCGGCTCCGGCATCTTCGAAGTATCAAGTCTCTCGGAATCCCTGGTCGATGTTATCACGTGCGAATGGGTCCCAATGTCGCGCTGTACCTTCGACGGGAGGATTGACGTGGCCACCATAGAACCGTGAACGGCTCGAGGGAACAAAACCTCCTCGAAATTGGCTCTGAGGAATCAGTAAGTTCCACCGTCCGTCAGGGCGGAACATAAAGGAGCACGAAGCGGAATGGAGGCAGGTGGAGGCGATAGGGGGAGGAGAGGGAGACGACGAAACGAAGGAGGCTCATCCCCGTCGGGCGCAACCCCCATTGGCATCTCCTTTTTTGCCGGCCTGGTATAAAGACTAACTAGCGGAGAACAAGCCCGGGGCCGGAGGTATACCCCGTGTATATACCTCGTGGAATTTCTACGGGAATTAAGTTTTACGCTCAATGAACGCGCAACAAACGCCCCAATACCCGGGGCTAAGATTGCATTCAACGCGACTCTGCTTCGTAGAAACGCTTCCTCGTGCACGACTCCGTGCGCATGGCTACGCTGGTGCACGCCGCTCCTTGACAGAGGTATATCCTACTATACAATCCGGGCTACATCAAGTGTGCGTGTGTGTATATATATGTATGTGTATATATGTATGCGCGATTCCGCGACATAAAGCCGCCTTTCCGTGAAAAAGTTCAAGCTTCATGCCGAGGTAATTATTTCCGCGAGATGCTGCACTCGACGTGGACCAAACAAAGCCGCGTGCGCCCGGTGTCGTTAGCGTTAGGTAATTGTATTAATTATGACTTTATTATCCAATAATGAGAGAAAGTTTCTACCGTCCTTTGTGCATTCAGCAAACCAAGCATTATAAATATTTCCGCTAAGGCAAATCGTCATCATTCCGCTGTTTTACTACTTTGCATCAAAAATATAATTATTACGGAAAGAATTTTCTCTTAGATGTTACCCTGAAATCATGGTAATCAGGGACAATATGGTACTGGAAGAATTTTATAAGAATTTCTCTGATTAATATTGATCACGATAAAAATTATTAATAAATTTTACTATGTACATAGTAAAATTCATCGAACATGTTTTATATTTTATTGTGGTAGATATTACTATTTTTATCGTGGTAAATATTAATGAGAGAGAAATTCTTCTAAAATTCTTCCAATAGTCCATGATTATCACGATTTTCAGGGTAACAAAATATTAAATTGAGAATATTATGAGAAGGTGAAGACTCTCTCTTGATACTCGACGCGTAAAGATCATTGCAAAATTATCGCGATGGAAGCGCGTCATTTGGACGAATAAGTATTCGAGTACTCGCGCAATATCTCGAAAAATCGTTCATAAAATCAGTTAATACCTCGCTCGTTTCACAAGTACCTTCTGGCTTTCCTCGCGGACGGCTGCACTTCACGCAACATATCGTACGTATATACATGAAACGTTCATTGTGGGGTTATACGGAACGGGCTCTTCAGGAACAATGCGGTTGTGTGCAAATACTCCTGGAAACAATGCGGCCGCGACTTAACTTTCTGGGATAGCTCCGACAGTGCGTCGTTCTTCGTGTACCGTCGGATGTACCGAAGCCGCAAACCGCGCTACCTAATGCAGAAACGACGTTGCATCCCTCGCGAATGAATCCCGGGGACGCTGCTACTTTGTTTTTCACGTAGATCTCGTCGCGAGTTTCCCTCTCTGTCTCATCATCATTTTCCCGCGAATTATTATACCGCGCTAACAATAAGAGATTTCAGTCTTCAACTTTTAACGAAACCGAGCAACGAAACGTCATTTACTTGATTATTTCAATCACGCGGAGAAATAATGCACCGTATGCGGGTATCGACATGAAGCTCGGAAACAATTCTGGGATTATAAAAAAAAAATGTCAGTCATGCGGAATTAACACGTCGCGGCGCGTTGACAGAGAGTCTGAAACAATTCTCGGATTTGTCACCGCAGGAATTCGCCGCGGATTCAAGATGCAACAGCGAAACGCGTATCCGCTATGCACGTGCGCCCCGTTGGCTTAACCGATCCTCACAGATACGATCTGCTGGACGTTCGTAAATCGAATTCTTCGGTGACGAGAGGGTAAACCTCCACCTCTATCTCTCTCTCTTATGCAGCACACACGCGGAACGTAATAATGGGGATTTAACAGTCATTAGGGACGGCATGCCGGTATATATCTGTCGATTGGTAACGCAAAGTGTTTGCATTAGGGCCGAACTGTCGAAGGGAAGCGAGGGTGGGGATGACTCGTTGCAGCGGGAGATCGATTCGTCGGGAAAGGGCGTCGGGGGAATGCGCGGGGGTGTAAAAGGCACCCTAGCTATCTTTCTCTAGTCCTATACCGTTTCTCCCGGCCTCTCCACAGAGTCGTAGACTGCTCGAGTATCCTCGAGGGCCAATCGAGTGGCGGCCCTGGGCATTTTGTCCACACTTGGCGGTCTGTAACAAGTGCATTGTCCCGTGTACCAAAGTGCACAAAGATAAAGAGACTTCTGGCTACCGCAACACGAGGACCATCGAGTATCCGTTCTCGCCCTTTTCCTCGCATTCTGCTTCTTTTCCCCATCCCTGATTCTCGCAACGCGGTTTTAATATGGCAAAAGTGTAAATAAACGTGCCGTTTTGTGTCGACGGTACACACAGTCGTGTCCCTTTTATTCTCGACAAGTTAATTGGAATTTTTCGAATTAGTATACGATTGAGTTTACTTAATAATAGAGATGTAAATATATATATATATATATATATATATATTTAAATTTTTGGTGATTCTCTGTGCAGTGGTAAAAATCATCAAAAATTCGATGATGTTACCCGAAGGGTATCCGTATTGTTGGAATGATGAAAAACGGTACGGTCGTGCGTGCGGTCATTGTTAAAAAAAAGTGTTCGAAAGTGACAGTTGTTTTCGGCGCTTTTTGCCCATGCTGGGTGGCAACCCAGTGTAACAAGTGCTTTGTGGCCGGCGCGAGGCGCGTAAGTGCACAAAAGTGGAAATTCGCGCCTGACTGATCTCAGGAGGACCCGGGAGAATAGCCCGAGCCTTTCTTCGTTCTCTTCGCCCTCCCTTTCATAGCGGGCGAAATTTTAATATAGTCGGGAGACGAAAGGCGGCGTCACGGGGTAGTGTATACTTTATGGATTCTTTTTCACAACGCGGCGTGACAACTTCATTCCGATCCTGAAGATCGGAGGAAATTTGCGCACGAGCGTAATGAGACGTAATATTAGAACGCAATACACACACACACAGAGTATAAGCTCGTCTTTTACATTTGCGATATTAAGTACGCGTAATTTCATCGAGGCGATATCTCGTCTATAAAGAACTCTATATATTTCGCAACAGCGTTATTTTATCTCTCCATATACACAACTTTATTCATTTTAAAGTGTTAAACGCGAAGTGACTGATTTTTTTACATTCTAATTGTGAAATTAAAATATTTTTTATTTCGCAAACTCGTGACATTTATTTACGAGTAACCGTAAATATATTTATATCGTCAGAATATGTCGATTCGATATAAGCCACTTACTGTACATATTACGCGCTCGGTATTTAAATTGCAGCGCATAATAAATTTCAATATATATAGTAGAGAGTCGGATAGTATAAATTTCAATTGCGAACGCAACAGGATGCAATGCATATACGAAGGTGGATGTGAGTGCTTCCTCTATATTTGTGCGAAAAGACTCACGCTGCGGCAGCTCTATTACTTGACTCGAAAGGGGTCTTTGGAATATATGATACGCTCTATCCATTCGAAATAGTAATATAGTCCGCAGTTAAGAGAGAACACGGCACAATACATTATTAAAGACTGGTGTAAGATTTTATTTCAAAAACACAGCTTGAATCAGCCGTTCATTTCTCTTTGACGGACAAGTATCCTATAAACATTTTTTCGCATCAATATAAGACTTAATTAAAATATTAAAAGAGTTTTAACTCTAATTTATTTTTGGCTTGAATTGCACTATACGTTATATGTATAAAAGTCAAATGCCACGAAGATTGCATTTAATTTATATCAACATTAATTTTTATTCCCTCATTGAACACGAATAATGATAATCAACGATATAAATGTAGTCATTAGTAACGTGATTAAAAAAAAAGATGAAGAATTTTGATCCGGCTGTATGTCCTACATCTTTGCGTTCAATAGAAATGATTAACTCGAGGACACAGCACTCACATCTTGACGTTCTTGACGACTCATTCGATTGTTCTTTATGACGTGGATGTTAATTACTTACCGATTAGCATCCCCTAATCCGAGACATGTGGACGGTGACATCCGGCAGGCAGGAAACAATAAGCGTTTCATCGTTGTTCATCTGTATCGCAGATGTGCACGGCGTAGAAACGCAGTTGTAATAAACGTCACGGCAAACAAATTAACAAGTCACTACCACCGGAGAAGCTGGATTGTCCGTGATGGTGTAAGAAGGGGGAGAACGATAGCCGTTGCTGACTTTGTAACCGGAGAGGATAAAATACGCGACTTAAGCGGCTAAGAGCGCGACGGAAAGGCTACGAGCGTGTTGCGCGTCTTCAGGGTCGGGTATCCGTTCTCGGTTTTCGGGGCCCGACGTTTTCGGAGTTGGATTGGCCTCCTTAAGAAGAAGAGTCGGGGATATACCTTCCCCGAAGTCCTGTTGCACCTTCCGCGGATTATCCCCCGCCCGATCGTGTCGTTTTTATTTTCATGACCGCGATCGATTATTATTTGTTCAAACGATCTATTCAAAAACGGCAGAGACAAACGCAGGATTTTGTAGTCAATTTCGACTTCAAAGGTGCACGATGTTCAAAGTCAAACTTTCGCCTGCCTTTCTGTAACAAAAAGTAATTAAATTACTGAAGACTTTTTCGCAAATATATTGTTAATAATTTTTTTCTTAATAAAAAATACGATTATATATGTGCACAAATCCTACAAACTAACATTTCACAATCATTTATATACATATATATGAAAATATATTTATTAAAACTTGCGGTTTGAATTTTATTAATTGTCATTTTTATGATGACAGGATAGACCAATCACAGGTGTGTGAAATCTATGTATAAATACAATTTTTTTCAATCAAATAAATCATCATTATACATGATCAATGATTCTTTTTCAGGCAGAGCACATAACGTGGGCGTCGAGGACGTCTCTTTAGGGAGACCGCGGCGGAGGGGTGGTCGTGCTGGGGGCCGAGGGGGTGGTGATGTGGCCGAACAGCCTCGGAGGTACTTCCGGCTGCAGCGGGGGCGCCGGCGCCACCGATCTCGGGGGCCTCGCCGCCTCCACCACCTCGGCCTCCGAGCTTTTCGGGCCCGCGGCGTTCGGCGCATCCGCCGCGGGGCCCTACGGCGCCCTCAAGACGGCACCCTACATGAGCGCGCTTAGCATGCCGTCGATAGACGCGTTACACTCCACCATCGGCTATCCCGGTTGTACACCCGCCGGTGAGTCCTACTACTGTGAGTGCCCATCAGATTGTTTTATTATAGTTTTAGTACTGACGATTCATATCGGAAATCACTTTTTTGATCGTGAATTTCTTATGTGTATCGCGAAAATGAAAAAAAAAAAAAAAAAAAAAAAGGGTTATCGACCTTTACATAGAGTGAGAAAATGGGAAGATTGTTATGATATTAATGTTGCAATACTGTAATTGGAAAACAATTGGCAAAATATAGAAGTGCTTTAAATATAATGACATAATACTAAATTATGCATTATTGTCGTGCTAATATAAAAGCTTTTGAATTATATATCGAAGTTACTTCCGATTTGTGAAAATATTATTGCTGTTATTATAATAAGTTATTAATATTAATTATTTAGTTATTGATAATAAATTCATGTATTTTATTTATTGTATTAATTATTATCAACTAGTTAAATGTAGTTGACCTATAACATTATAAATTTCATTCATTTATTATAAAAATTATCGGTATCATGCCGGACAAGTTTGAATTGGAAATTAGAGATTTAACAGAGAAATCCTTCCTGAATATCAGTCATCATTGACTGAAATTATTTGTTTTTGAATAAAAAGTGCTTTATATTTCTTTTAATTTTTTTTTTTTTTTAATAAATTATATAACATTGATGTATCAATGATTTTATGCATATCTGAGAAACAGATAAAATAAATAAAATAAATGAAAATAAATAAAATTAGAAAAAAATTAGAAAAAAAAATTCTATGATTATTCTGTTGTATTAAAAATTTTGCATTAAAGGCAATCCAAGGAAGCAACGGCGGGAAAGGACGACGTTCACACGAGCGCAATTGGATGTATTAGAGGGGCTTTTTTCAAAGACGAAATATCCTGATATTTTCATGCGCGAGGAAGTGGCAATGAAAATCAATTTACCGGAATCGCGAGTACAGGTAAGAAATTATTAACGTTGATAACAGCAATTTTTGGTTATGCTTTATCAAAGCATTAATATGCAGTTATCATATATGTATCGAAAGAAATCGTATAGTTATTCGATATCGGTCTCGTTTTATTTGTAATATTAAATTAATACCTTAAATTAAATAACTGTCACAATACAATTGGAAATAACTTTAAATGTATGTAAAAAGTATTTCTGCACTGATGTAAAAAAATGCGGCATGTCTACGAAGGGTGCGAGAGTGTCTGATTACCGAGGGTATTCACTGTCGGCACGTTGACAGCATCGATTCTTTTCTACGTGGTTGTCCTTTGCTTTAGAGTTAATTAAATTATACGTCGTAGAGCAAATACCTACAAGAATTCTTCGAATCTGCTATTGGCTTCCCCCACGATAAAATTTAAAATAATGATTTCATTCAAAAAATGATATAACTGTAATCTTTTTATTTACAGATAAACTACTAGTCTGTATAGGATTTTCTATAATTAAAAATTTAGAAATTCATATCCCGTTTATTGTTAGTTGCAAATGTAATATTTCATTTTAACAAGGTATTTGTACAAGGTATCATTATACGCATTATTCGATATAGCTATATATAAAATTATAACAACAGGAGAAGAAAACGAATAAAAGTCAAAGCACAGTATTATAAAGCGTGCAATTATTTATAATTAGCGTAAGTAAAAAGCACAAGGTTTAAAGGCATAAAAAAGCTACGCAGAACATCAAACGTTTATTATGTCTCTCTCCGCAATGGTATATAGAAAGAAGAAAAAAATTCGTTCGGTCTCTAGTCACATGAAATCGCAAGCAATGTTCCATTGGTATTTGTCCTCAATAGTGCGCAGTCAAAAGAATGTGCAACAATACCGCGAAAACCTACACGAACGATGACAATTTCGGAATCGATATGTCGATGTGTCTCGACTGACACCGTGCGGTCTCGCCGTATCGACGTCCACGAAGGTCCGAGAACGTGTTCGCGCATATCCCACCCTCATCACGGGTGGAAAGGACGCTTCACATCCGCAATTGCCGTTCAACACACCTGGCTATGGCCGGGATGAATGGGCCCAACGTGGCCCATAGTCTTCCGCACGTTCGACCGACGACTGCAAAACCAGAGACTGCTCACGATTGCCGTTTTCGGACCCCTAGATGACTTTTCAACCGCGGGCATCTCCGTATTCATTGTAGCTTCACCAAAGCTGGTTTTCTCACGGGAGTCAATGTGCTATCATTTCACGTAATATAATCGCGTATTTTAGCATCCATTTTTTTAGGAAGAGAAGCTGTATAATTGATATGAATAGAGCACGTTACCTTTAAAGTTGTTAAATTGTAAAATTTAATATTTCAAGGTTCATTACATAATTAATAAATCCATGATCAATTGGTGAACTGATGAAGAGATGATAAAATATATCACAAAAGAAAAGATGAGGATCAGAATTTAAGTGTCGGAAGATAACGAACGTAAAAAATCTTTTATTTACAATTTATGTCGAGAATAAAGAAAAATTGGCATTTCGTAAATATAAGTTATTATTAGATATTTTATGATATATATAAATATTAAATCGAACGTTGATGTCTTGCCAATATTTCTCAATATCGATATAGAATATAATCCAGTGGTAAAAATACTTTTGCAACGTTTCTTGAGAGCGAAGAATTCACGTTTTATGACTATATATATATATATATATATATATATATATATATATATATATATACCGGACTCTTTCGATGGAAGAACGCGAGCTGCTGGTGTCGTCCCCCAGAAAATCCGTAGAAACTCAAGCTCACCTCTCCGCTTCTAACATCGATCGCGAGGCTTCTTCAAGTTTGACTCTCTCTCTCTCCTTCTATCTCTTTCCATTCGCTTCGTCCCTTCCTACATCCCCCATATCGTTTCTATGTACCAGAGAAGTTTCAGAGGACAAACACGAGCTATGAGAGACAACGAATCATTTTGACGTATACCAATGCAGTAATTAAATCCGCAAAATATATCTCCGAATCGTTATTTATGAACATTCTTTTCGTTAAAAATGAAAATTTATACTTTAATATCTACTAAAATAAATTATGAACAATATTACTGTAATGTTTACGCGATGAAGTCTGTCAAGGAAAATTACAGAAATTGATAGAATAGTAATTTACGTCATTTGAGCGCCAGAGCGGCGGAAAAGCTTTTTAATCTATATAAGCATAATTAGCAACTTCATTACAAGATGTTCGTGCAAAACCAGTGGACACTTTGAACACAAACTGGAGCGAGCCCGTTCGTACGCGAAATCGGCTTATTCTATTCAGAAAAGTTGCTCGGTGTGTGTGGGACGACCAATCGGTTTCATAATTCTGCTGCATTAACGACAGCCTGATAGCGAGCGGCATCCGATATACGCGTGTGCGTTTTCGTTCGCGTTGCTGCAGTCAGCTTGATTGGTAATTGATAGTCGTGCCAGTCCGGTATTCCCTTATAATTGGTTATTATGCCAGCTTTGCGAGAGTTCTCATTCGTTTCAAATCACATTTACGCTTCGCTGAAACGTGTAAATGACGCCCGATTCATTTCGCGACAGATGCGCGATTTATTATTATTTTTGTTTTAATGATTTAATATATGCAATAGAAGCGGCTCTGATTACATAATCGCGAATAATAATTTCTACATGTCTGCAGGTGTGGTTCAAAAATCGGAGAGCTAAATGCCGACAGCAGCAAAAGCAGCAGCAGCAGCAGCAAGATAAGGCGCCGAGATCGAAGAAACCCTCGGGGAGTCCGGCTAGTAATCCACCCCCTGGAAAAAGTCCTTCAATTGCTACCACGCCCACGCCTGCCGCCGCGGTATCTGCTACTACGCCCTTGTAAATATACTACTTGATCTTCAAATATAATAATAAAATATCGCGTATACCTTTGCAACGCACAACCGTGTAATCGCGCTAACGACTCTTATTTTGCAAGATAATCGACGGCACAATTAACCTGCTTTAATTAATAAAAGAAAAACTAATATTTTAATTGCAACTGCACGTTACAGAGATTATTGAGATATGTGTATCACGCGAGATATTATATTTTCTCACGTACAAACATTGCGAGTGTAAAGTTCGAGATCCTAATTGGGGCACGATCGACCGTTGCGTATAAATGTATTATACATAGAATAGATGTGTGTATACATTATTACATTTCTGTACTCAGGAGCGGAGGCACTGGCGGCTCAGCGGCAAGTTCTCCGGCGCTTTTAAGGGATTCACCGCAGTATAAACCCGCGGGAAACGCTACTAGTTTGCTGTTAGCAACTAGCACGACTCCACCGAGCGTAAGTCGATGGGCTGTAGCGATACTTATTTCGACGTTTTTGTGTTATTTCGTTTGCGCTTTTTTGCACTTTAATTAAAAAATTAATTGTATACAGTTCCAGTTTAATAGATTTTCTCTAGCAAAGTTTGAATAATTACAACATGAATGTATATAAGACGTGATAAAAATGATGTATATCACTAAATTAAAAAATTAAAAGAAGAATAAGCGATAATAAATAATACATACATTTGCAAATACTAATTCTACAAAAAATATTGCATATATTATTGATTGTCAGAAATAACAAGTGGCGAGTTACTTTTGGAATTAATTTCTCGTACAAAAATAATTTGACTATGCTTTTTTGAATGTTTTCAAAATATTTGTTCTCTTATACGCCTATTGTTTTATTTTTCAACAGTTAGGCGGCACCGTGTACAACAGCGGCGGTGGTAGCAGTAGTATCTGGAGTCCAGCCGTGACGGAGAGCGGTGGCTTTCCAGGTGACCACCAACGGTTAGCGTGGACGACAACCGCTTCCCAGCAACAATGCTATCAAAATTATACGTCCTACTATACCAATATGGATTACCTCTCGCCCGCCTCGCACCAGTTAAACGTTGTAGTAAGTATATATCTCTGCAATTTTTTTCTGCGCAAATATATCTACCTATATATGATGGCGACAATTAAAATGGAACAAGAATTAATAGCGTAATATAAAAGAATCAATATTGCATCATTAGGACAGCGGAGGTAGCGGCCTTGACAATTCATGGAGCAAAACGAGAGACGAAGGCACTTCATCTTGGTTTTACAATAGTGCCGGATGGGGTGATCGGAAGTGAACCTACAAGAATCGAGGGGAACAAAATCCGGGTACATATCATCGACAATAGTGAAGGTTATACGGCTCGAATCGAAGCTTATATCGTAATGCGATGCCAAATAAAACGAGGAAGCTGTATTTCTGATGAATGTCGATACAGACTAAACATATCTTTAATTCGGCCGGCATTCGAAAAGCTGTGGAATGCACAGGCCAATCGAGAGTGCCATACGTATCCTCCTGTATTTACTGGTTCAGCATAGCTTAAATATACAGGATATCCTATCATTGGAATATTTTCTCTGCAACGAGAATTTGCAGAAAATATTTCATAAAAAAATTGTTTTGTTTCGAGAAGCGTTTCATATAAAAATATTATTTACATGTAAGAGTATTAAAGGAATATATAAAACATTCCACATTTTCCTTTTGTATTGTGCAATTTTTATTAGACCAATTTTATTCTAATGTGCATTGATTTAGAAATGGATGAGGTGATAAAACTAAATAGAACCTTCTATATTAACGATGTAATCGTTTCTTTGTATATCGATATATTGTGCCCGCGATCGCGTAATATATTTTTTGAAATATTTCGTACGACACGAAGTTTCTCAAATATGTTGCGAAATAATTCTAATTAAGATGATCTATACATTTAAGTTCCGACTTATTTTCACTTCGGAAATTATATCAAATAATACTAAATAATATTTTTATTTACTATTAAAAATTTACAAAGTTTGAAAATCAATAAAAATTGCAATTTCTTAGAGGAATGTGTTTTGTATTTTGCTAGTTGCTTCAAAATTTGTTGATAGTGCAAATTCATTATTAGTTGATGCAACAAATTTGTCGTATTTCTCAAATAAAATTAAAAATATATTGATATAAAAATTATATTGAGTTTTTCGCGGAATACTTTATACTTTCAAATAATTTGTGGAAACCAAAATAAAAACACGCCAATAATTTTAATATAAATTTTCCATTCAGAAAAAAATTTTCTTGAAATACGAGTAAAATAGGATTATACATTTTAGAAATATTGTGCCATCTTTATTTATCTATCAGAATAATCAATAATGTATGTAATTTAAAACAAGATTTATATATAAGAAAAAACCGATAAATCTTTTGCATCAATTTAATATCCACTAGTCACATTAATACAATAAAATATAGCAAAATTAAAAGAAAGTAAAAAAAAGGATTCATTATAAAAAATGATTATAATGTGATTATGCATACATTTTGCATACATAACTACTTTACATTTTTTTTGCCAGATCTTAGACATAATAATTTTAATAATTCAGATAATTCTTTTATAGCAAAAATGATGGCTTTTTAACGATGTGCTATAATGATTCAATGTGATCTCCAGGACAGATAATATACATTACATTGTACATAATATAAATACATTTACGATATTCAAGAAGAATCATTTAGGTGATTAATGTGTGGTATACATTTCATTGATTTAATTTTTTCGATTAAAATAATATACGCAAAATTTTTAAAAGAAGGTATGTGCGTATACACGCGATACATGTACCATGTATATAAATTATATACAAAAGCATATAGTGCAGATCTATCTATGTACATATGTATCATCTGTCGTGTATAGAAATACACTATCTGAATATCGAGATGAATTTATGTTACAACACACACGTCGAAGTTGTTGAACATTTTCTTTTTTCGAAAAGTTATTTTGCATGTGTAAAATGAAAAATTTATATTTTATCTCTTTATATATAAATTAAATAAATTTTACACACACCGTCCCATTGTCAAAAAATACGCGTTAAATATTACCTGTCATACGATATTATCTTCGTATACAGAGAACGAAAGAATAATATATACAAGTAAAATAACATACATTATTGATAACGTTATTCATTTTTCAATTTTCAAAATAAATTTTTTCTGGAAGGCAAAGCCTTATGTAGAAAAATTTCATTTTACATAATCAAATTCTTTTTGTACGAAAAATTCATCCCAAAAGTATTACGTATCTCGGCTATATCATATATTTGTTATTTCTGACAATCAATATCAGAATAATTTTTTTTCAGTATAAATTATTTACGAATGTATATATTAATTGTTACTTTTATTCTTTTTTTATATTTTTAAATATATTAGCGATATGCAGGAATTATATATGATTTTTAACATGTCTTATACATTTGTGTCGTAATTATCCAAATTTTTACTAGAAAGAATATATTTATGAACTGTATATACAATTCAATTTTTATTCAAGTGCAAACATATATGTAATTTACTGTATATCGCTTTTGGTAAAATTTGCATTTTTTTTTTGGTATAAGTATTTAAACATTTTGAAAAAAAATCTTTGATGATGGAGCTTTAGAAAACTAAATTAAACACCGATTGTTCTTTACAGACGTGAGCGTCGATGATTGATTATAGAATAGAAAAGAATGCATATGTAAAGTAAAAAAAATTATTTAAGATCTATAGGAACATAAGAGTATGTGACTGTTTAGATTGTTATTATTAAATATTATCAATAATTAAAATATGATCGACAAAAAAACAACGACGTACATGTCTCAAGATGTATAAAGATAATAATATATCGAATTTGAATTGTATATAAATGTGTTTATGACTTTTTTACCTACATTTTCAACTTTCCGCTTAAAAATCTCTATTTTCTTTTTCAGTAAAAGACACTTTTATTTTAAAAAATATTATATATATATAAATCTACAATATTTTGAGCCGAATTTTGCAATTATATTACTTTTCGATATTCCTAATATAAACAAAATTTTTAAAATAATACAAAATTTAATAGTATAAATATAATGTATATTTAATAGTAATAATATATATAAAAAATATGTGCAATTTGTACGACTTTCATATTTCTATTTCAAATTTCAAAGGTATCTGCATTTCTCCTGTTACCATATGTACGCTTTGATTAAATAGTTCTCGTTCTAGCTGCGTACTCGCTGCGAGGGCGTTAGTGCACAACTTGAACTTTTTCGTCCCATACACACACATATATACAATTCTCACATATGCACATTTATACTTGTACACATACATATATATTCTTGTATCAGAATAGCAATTTTCAATGTTTATTGTCGATGATTCTATCTATTATTCTACTATTAATCAGAAAGCTTTAGAAGATAAAAACAATTGTTGAACTAATTAGATATGCATAATTATGGCTTTCAGCAGCATTTTATAAGCATGTGTAAAATACCGCGAAGATGGTCCTCTCCACTTTACATTGGCTAGTATTCAAGTATTACACGATCGATATACATAGCTAATTGAACATAATGACATATATATATATATATATACATACTTGGCGATGCTCGAGCACCTCCTTCTGCCGTTTCTTCGGAGAGAAAGTACACGTAAAACACGAAAAATGCCGGCATGTCTACTGATCTCTACGCACAGCACGCACACACATACCGAGATCGCGAATAACACTGGTACGCAACGTTTCAACACACTGTGTACAACGAAAACATTTAACACCCGCGCAATACCGGTGGTTATTCCACTCGCGTACGTAAAATTCACTTTTAGACGGCAATAATGACGGAATGATACGGAGCACGTCGGTCCCGTGACGCGGTTCGCGATTACCGCTGTTATTTTGAAACGATTGCGATTCTCGAAGGATCGCCCTATCGATATATCGCGACGTCACACACTCGCTCGTCTCGCGCGGCGCCTCGCCGGCGAGTGGCGCCCTCTGAGCGAGCGCTGGCGGCAACAGGGGTCGCTGCGCGCCGGCGTGGTTTCGCCGTCTCAGTCAGTGTCGCGCGTCTCTCCGCGCCGGTTGGTTCTCGTTCGTTCTCGTTCGGTCGTGCGCGTGTCTTGTTTCGCCGCGAGTCCCAAGTTTACCCCAAACCGTCGAACGATGTTCGCGACGTGAATCTCGCCGCGAGAGACAGGAAGTGTTTTTTTTCTCTCATATTAATAAAATTGTAACTGTTTAATTGCCTCGCGCGCGCGCGCGCGATCATCTATAAGGATGCGGCGCGTCACGATACTGCCGTTGTCCCTGCTGCTCTGTATATGTAAGTATACCGAATCAAGTATAACCGGCCCTCGAATCTCGCCCCGTATAAGGGCTCTCTTTCCCCTCTTCGTCCCCGTCCCCGGTATCGGTCTGTCCGTCTCGGGGTGAATCACACGGAGGGAAGACAGCCGATCGAAGTTCCGGCAAAAGTTGGCGGCGCGTCTTTCTCTCTCGTTCTTTCTCGCTTCCTCCCGTGATCCCACGCCGATCTCCGCTCCGACCGGTTTACGCCGCGCGGTCTCTCTTCATCCTTTCTTCCCTTTCTGCCGGCCGACGGTGTAATTACAGCTAATTGACTCCGAATCGCGCGCCTCGGCCGAGCTGCTCTCCCGAGGTGATTCGACTCGGGAAAAAAATCGCGCATGAGCGACGATACTCTTCTCTCTCTCTCTCTCTCTCTTTCCGAGTGATTCCTTCCGATGACGGTGCTTGTTTGAAATTATTGAGTTGGCAAAAATAAAATTTTATGTTTAAATTCTATATATGCATACATATATATATATATATATATATATATATATATATATATATACGTATAATCGCAAAAGTGGAAAGGGTGCAGTTATCATTTCGTGCGCGAGGAGATATCTGGCAAACGCATCGCCGCGATACGACAAGTACGATATGTTTCCTCGAGCATTGTTTTATTCGCTCGTTGTCTCGCGATAAAATCCCGCAATTTGCTGAGAGTAAATTATTTCGTCGATTTGCTCCAAGCGTGCAATTAGCCATTTCGAGCGCGTGACGCATAGAAAGATTTTGGATACGTTCGGCAAGATCTCCGTTTATCTGTTCTTTTCTGTCTGTTTTGAAAAAAGAACCCTTTCTTTTCTTTATTTATTTGTCACAGTGAATTATATTAGACTGTACCATATAGAAGATTTGTTCGTATATCATTTGTACTTGTCACACATTTTCCATTTATATTGTCGTATGTCGCCTGTAGATGTATCAATTTATCGGAACTAAATAGTTTTCGAGATGTAATCAATAACACGATACTTGTGTAATGCTACATTGCAGTCAAATTATAGTGCGAGATCGCGCGGAATTTATATTCCGTAAAACAGAGACTGTCTGACCAGCTTTTCACAATTCAAACTTTATCATATTTAAACGTTTACTTTGTCATCGAATTAGCAAGTAGAATTACGAATTATTGCAAACCCAGTCGTACATTTTCCACCGCGAATTAATTAACCGAATTTTTATTAAATCTTTCATCCGGCTATCAATTACTATAATCAACTATGTCAGAGATATCACATTTGTTCACCCTTCGGTGAAAAGAGGAGAGAAAAAAAAAAGAAAAGAAAAAGACTTTCTTCTCTCATCACGTTCCTATCTCTCTGTAAATCAGCAACCTAAACTAAAGAGTCACGAGAGGGCAAAAAAAGTAAGATATCCCTTCGCCTAAAATCGGAGCTGGCCAATTTGCGTCCTCGCGGATTCTCTCCCTCGGCTCTTACGAGGCCGAGAACCCGAAAGGATGCTGCCACTCTCCACCATGACGGCTCTCCTCTCAAAGAGGAGGAACCGGTTCGATAGCCGCGCACACCTACATGTAAAAGCGGCGAGTGTACGCAGACTCGGTGCACGCGGGAGAAGAGAGAGAGAGAGAGAGGGTGGAAAGGAGAGACGGTTGCCGTGTGGTATTACGTAGGTATATACCTAATATCGGCCACCACCGGGGTTAAGAGGGGAAGGGAAAAGACCCGAGGGGGTTGCGCAAAATGTACGTAACTCTCGAGAGTGCGCCATGGTACCCCATGGCTGCTTTCGCCCCCTCTCTCTCTCTCTCTCTCCAGCTCTTTCATTCGTTCCTGTTCCGGCTGTGCCACTCATCAGGACCACTTGGCCATTCATATTGGTCCAGTGCTCCTAATTACACGTCTCGAGTTACGGACAAGAATCGGGACGACCGGAGACGTTCCGCGTGTCTCTGAAAAGGAGATAGGGAGATATATGTATAGGGGTACAGGAGAAAAGTGTATACACAAGTCCCCTTCTGCGTCGCGAGATTCTCCTCTCCGACTCTCTTTCCTCGTCTCTCTCCTTCTCGACGACCTTTTTTTTACACTACCAACATATAAGAGTTCCTTTGTGCGAAGCCGCGCACGCGGCGGTTATTTTATACACCGAATGTTATTCAGCGTGTAACGCGTTTTCGCGTTTCTTCCGCTCGCACGTTATTAGCCGCGATGTTCTCTCTCTTGTTCGCTCGCTCGTTCGTTTTCTTTTCGTTCAGACGTTGCATGACGTCGTCGCAGTGTGTACACGTGTCTCGCTGCAGGGTGCGACGAAAAGAGAGAGAGAGAGAGAGGGAGAAATCGTATTAGCCCTTTGATCCCACGAGCTGCTGAAATGACTCCGAAAAGAAACAGAGAAAGAGGAGAGACTAATAAAGACACGGGTGGCGCGTAAAAGGAGCGAAACCGACATTCTTTTCCTGGAGACGCCGTCCGCGACACGCGCACACATTCGTTCCTGTAAACTGCAATTGCAACGTGGATCCGCATCGCGAATCGTCGTGAAATTTCAATCCAGTTACATATTTAGATGTGTATCGAAATCCCTTGCAAATGTCTTATCTCGCTCTTATGTAAAATTCTGTTGAATCAGCTGGTTTTTCATACATGTTGTAACTTACGATCCGCTGAAGAAAAAATGTAATAGCTGTAAAGATAAATAATGGACAATTACTGAACTCTTTGTATTTAAACTAGTAACTGTTGGTTATTTAGGTTTGAGCTTATTTACATTTTTAATTCAGTAAATCATAAGCTACAGCATACGAGAAATTCAGCTGATTTTACCGAGATTTAATTTTATCTAGAATTTTATATGTAAATTACTCGCAGTTAAAAAATTCTGTAGAAAATTGAATTTTAGTAAAATCTGCTGGTTTTTTCATATATTGTAGTTTTCAGTCTACTGAACAAAACATGTAATAAAATGTAAGCTTACAGCTAAATAATAGATAATGATGATAATTACTGATAATCATGTAATGATAATTATTGATTTGCAATCAGTCAAACACGAAAAACTCGGTCTTTGCGACTTGTTTGACTGGCTGTAACTCAATAATTGTCCATATACCTTTAAAGCTATCACATCTTTTGTTCAGCAGATCATAAGCTGCACATATAAAAAATCAGCTGATTAAGTCAAAATCTATTTTTACATAAAATTATTTTTTTGAATAATAAAAAATGTTTTAAATAATATTTTATAAAGAAAAACCCTGAAAAAATGAATAATAAACATATATGAAATGAATAATAAAAATATTATAACTTATCGAAATGAATTTATCTGATATGGAAACTTAAGTTATTTCGAGCAGACTTGATTTATCTGAGGGATGCACTCGTCAGATGTATGCGTTCCTCGGAAATAAAACTCCTTCATCCGGCGGTTATCGCCTGTCGACACGTGGAATTGGAAGATAAACTCTCTATCGTTTCGGAGATACCTCGAAATGCCGGCCCATCTTTCGGCAGGAAACACTCCTTACCCTGCCCGGCGTCTTTTCCCTTCTCGTCTCGTTTCCCGACCGTGTCGATTACCAGGCCAACGGCGGTTCAAAGCGTGTAAAACGCTTCGCCACGAGTGAAGCCTGCGTTTGATGACCTCCGGGATGGAAACACGAGAAGCGTGAATAATATATTTCGAGGAGCGAACCACGCGCAGAGAGAAAAAGAGGGAGAGAGTGAGAGAGATTCCCGGATAGACGACACCGGGCTCTTTGATGAAATCCGCTCGTTCATGTTGTCATTACGTATACTCCGAAAAAGGCATACTCCACACTCTCATCAGATCTCGCTTTCTCCCTTTTTCTGTTAAACGAATTCTCCTTTTGACTGATTTCCGTGAACAGAAACCGCACCCGGGCGAACAGATGTAGTTCTATTTTTTCCCCATGTTTTGTTTTCATTGAACGCATCATTACGTTATTTACATAATTGTAATTCTTTGTAACGCGATATTTTTATTCCTGATTATTTTATTTCTTTGTCCAACAAAAAACCTAATAAATGAATCAAAAAGTTGTATCTTCTAAAGTAAATTAAAAAAGAAATTAAAATATTTAATAGGAAGAAAATAATTGATTAGTTTCTATAAAAAAGTAATGAAAAAACTCTCGTAGCGCCTTCGAGATATATAATTTCTTATTTATCATCAAAGCAATTATCTGTTTTTCTCTCGTTTCTACAGATTAAAAATAAATTCTACATTTTATCCAAGATGCTGGAATAACGCACCTGAGCTTCGAACTTAGACGACTTTTAAAAATAGAAAACAACAGTGCACTGCGCAATTGTCTTCATCGTTTTGGGGCACATCTCGTTGTATTTTATTTCTCTTTCGCTCTTTTTCTCCTTCTGCTCTTTCTTTTCCGGAATAAGAGCGAGCGGTTGCACTTTACCCTTACTAAAAGGGCGTCAGTGTTCCCTGAGCTCTCACCTATAGTCTTCTTTTTTATCCGCACAGTCCTTTCTTTCTTCCTTCCTTTTTTTTTCGTAATAAGTGTGCCTTACGTAGTACGCTGTCTCGGCAGCAGCCCCTCAGGAGCAACAACTCTCGGGATGAGTTCAGAGTCGCGGAAGCGTTCTGAGTGCGTGAACTTTACGGTGCTCAAGATCGTCTGGAAGGTGGTACAGCGAACACAATTATTTGCATCCAGCAGCCTATCTCGCAGGGACGTTCAGCACGCGCGACGTACTCGGCACCCTTTCCCCTGAAACGCGCGGCGATTTTCATGCACGTGGGTGATGCGAGGAGGCGTTGAGGAATCGGTTAGGGCGTACAGGGCGAATTTTTCCTTTCGCACGCGCGCGCGCCCGCGAGTCTCGTCATAACTGACAGCCCGCGCATAATTCATGTCCGCGTGGTTCGCTGACTGCGAACCGCGTGATAAAGTGCGCATTCTACGTGCACGCGATGAATTATGCATTCGGCGTGCGTTACATATATATATATATATGCGCCGCGCTGCTGGGAGCCGTTCTAATTGATACGGGAAGGTACAAGTTCCTGCGGCAAAGGGGAGAACTGCTGCGAAAGCCTTTTGGGAAATTAGGAAGTATTATTGTTGTTTGTGTGTTTATATTATTACTTATTGCTGGTATATATTTTCTTTCTAGCCCATCTTTGTTAGAAGAAGTTTATTTAAAACTTTGCGCACACGAGTTCATATTGTATCATTGGCTTGTATCTCAAAGTTGGAGTCAATTCCAAGTATATTTTATAAACGTTATAGAAGTATAGAATGTTCGAATAGAACAATAGAATGTTCGAATAATTTGATAAACGATAAAATAAAATAATATTATATATATCATATATAATTTTATGATAAATATGTATATCAGATGTTTTTTAAGTTTCATCGGAAGAATTGTGTCATTCATTATTTCTATTCGCGTAACCAAATGCATTCTTATTTCATCTGATTTAAACTAACTATACGAATGATTTTATGGAAACGCGAAAAGTTTTTAACGGCTTCAAAGCGATCTTTCGATTTGAAGACTGTCGTTATCTTAGTCACGTGTACACATCGAGAAAAAGATTCCGTAACATAATGAGCCAAGTTCTGCTTCTACCGGCACAAACTTTCTCCCTTCTAGTTCCATGATGCCTGGAAGAGGGATCGTGCGCCGTGTACCACGAATAATAATCAAGGAGTGCTCCGACGAAAGGGAATCGCGAAACTACCCCCAGACTATGAGAAAACAACCCCTTGTGTTCGCATCCAGACGAGTTACTTTCTTGTCGTTTTCGATTCACCGGAAAGAGACGTCTAAGAGAAAGACACATTTTGTGATTGTCTTATGATTCTGTTTAGAGTCATTTAAGTCAAAAATCTTTCGCTGGCCTTTCGTAAAATACAAAATAATTAAGCTGCACCGTTTTAATTCTTTTTGTGATATTTTAATAAATTTCCTTATTTTCTCCTGGAAGGAATATATATTTATACATTTTTTTAAATGTATAGAAAAGATAATTTTTCACAAAATATGCCATGGATTAAAATAGTGTTTGTATTTTGTTTTTACTTAATTATCAGTTAATTAACAACTGAAATTGTGAATCGACTAACCGATTTTTGCAACAGAGTTAGTAGACTTTTTGTTGGCGAGTACTTTTTTCTCCTTTGAAATTTATCGCGATACATCAGTTAGCCTCCTGGTAACCGACGATTCTACGATATATGTGACATCGTATAGACATCGAACGTGCGCAAGCACTTGGCATCGGACGACGCAGTCGAAAAATCGGGCCGCTTGTGTAAACGTCATAAAGCAACGTGGCTGCAGCTGTCGAGGACAAGAGTAAGAGAGAGAAGGAATGTTTAGCTCGGGAAGGAAGCCAATCTTATGAGTAGGTCGTAAAAGCGGTCGTGTTTACCCCTCGAGGAGGTTTCACGACCAACAGGACTGGCGCAAACGCACGCATTCTTTTTTTGGGCGTTCTTCTTCTTTTTTTTTCTTTCCTTTGACTGATAAACGTCGGTAAAGATTGACATCGGGCACATTTGGAGATACAGTCTAACGAACGCGTTGAAAAGACACGATTCGGCCATAAACCTTCTGTCGTATTAGTTTATTTTCTCTCGATTTCTCGTTGTAATCCACAGGAATGTGATAAGCAGGCGATATTTTTAAAAGCTATTTTTCCCATCGCTCGTGTAATGATCGAATGCGGCAACTCGCTTTTCGACGAGACGCAGGTCCGGAATCAATGGTTCCTTTGATGTTGCGCGCGCAACGAGCCGCGTGAATCCGGCGTGAAAATGCGTATTTCCGCACTCAGATTCGCGCATATAATTACAACAGCAGATTAATTGTAGTATCAATTAATATTGGTAATAAATCGCATAATCGCAGTAAAATACAATTTTACAATTCGGTAAAAACGGTTCCTCTGCTGCAATTTCACGTTCAGACGCAGGGAAACGTTTTCGTAAATTATAAGAAGAATAGGAAGAAATAGCTGCTTCTAACAAAAAAAAATCGATGACACATTTTGTTTTCCGACGATTGTAAAATTTATAATGTCAGGGCGCTGCAGCGGTATTAGATCACAGGAAATACCTGAATCCACAATTACAGATAGGGAAACTGACGGAGTCCGCTCGAAGATAAATAAAAGAAGGGACCCCTCTGATAGATTTATGACCGTGCATTGTGGTCTTCAGCACACATGGACGGTGGTTAAATTATATGGCATTCGGGGTCACATGGAGATATTTATTACTGATCGAAATAAATTACACATTACTATCGCTAACGTTAAAATATATGTATATATTTATTATTATGTATACTATTATATTTTAAATCGAATGCATATACAGACGGATACATTTAAAAAATAATAAATAATGCTCGAACAATGAGGAGCATCCCGCGTTCTTTCACGAAATCATTCATGGGTATCTCTGTTCTTTATTTCGAACGGTGGAAATTATTGCGATCGGGTAGGAGAAATCGAGGGAGAAAGGGTGGATTTTGCAACCGCGTAATCTGAAATTTGAACGCGAAGTGGATTATATAGTGAACGAGATATTATGTATAATATTTCGTCCATTGCGACCGCGACGGATTAATTATTCCCAAACACTTCTACAGAGAAGCGCGCGATAGCGGTGTGTTGTGTGAATGAGAGAGAGAGAAAGATCGATGGTATGAGAGATTGCGAGAGCAGTAGTTACACATGGATGTGTGGTGCACACGTGTTCCTAGCCGGCGGAGAAACACCGATCGATTTTCGCCCCGGTACAGAGGATTTAATCTACACTGGTGTAGCCATTGTATGCAAAATGCGTACGCAACGATCGCCATACATAAGCTCGCGAAATTCACGAATTTATTCATGTGTGTGTCGTATATTGCACATATATATATTTACATATTTTTATGTAGCCTTTAAAAGAGCGATTTTCTCCTTACGGGTATTTTTTTCTCGCTTTATATACGCGACGACATTCAGTGTTGATTCGATCATCTCTTTGTATCTCGTTTGGTCAAGATAAGATATACTCCTTCTCTTATTGATCTCATGAACTCAATATTTATAATATATGTCTAACTCAAAACAATTACAATTTTTGTTTAATCAAATTTATTCTTTGAAAAGAATCAGAATCATATGACGGAAGCTGTTATGTTGTTTAAATAAGAAAAATAATTAATTGTTCTTCCATTGCTATAAAAATAAAGTTAAACACAGGATGAATTTGGTCGATTTTTAATACGTGTAACCGACTTAATGTGTTATTTTATTATTAATAAGAAAAATTTTTTTTCTTTTACAGCACTCGTTTATGGGCAGGATGGCGATCTTTACTTTTCGGTGAGTCCTGCGGAACATTCGGTTGTCGAAGGATCTCCGGTTCGTTTGAGATGCGAGGCTCAACCCAGCTCCCATGTTAAATACTCGTGGAAAATGGACGGACAATCGCTTGCTCCGAGTCCGCGGAGGCATCAGGTCGAAGGTGATCTTTACATCACCAGGGTCAGTCGGATTTTGGACAGTGGAAGTTTTGTTTGTGTGGCTACACACGAGCAAACCGGTTACTCGATTGAGAGTTCACCCGCCAAGATCGACGTTCAATGTAAGTCTTATCAAATCTTTGCGCTTATCTTCGCACGTTTGCGGTACAATCGTTTGCTTTTAATTTTATATTTATCTACCTGATCTGCCTCCCTCTCCCAGAAATTTCGTTTCGATACTAACAATAAATGGAATTATACACATAGCAAATTTTAAATTTAGTCTATATTATATATTTGTATTATCAATTTTTATCTTTCAATTTTCTAAACTAATAAATTATGTAATTTTATATTTGTCATCCATTTTCAGAGATGCCATCAATTTTTAGAGATGGCAATTTTTTTTAAATTTATATTTATATTTACACAGTATATTAGATAGATATTTGTTTGTGTAAAAATGCAATATATTCCTGTTGCCTGTGTGAAATGTCGTTTAGTATGAGTTTTGACTATATTAGTTTCAATTAAGTATCGCAACGGAACCATTTGAATTAATTAAACCTTTTCCTAGTAGCGTGGAAAATAATATGCAAGTTAATGTTTCATGAAACATATACACGTACAAGCATTACGTATACATTACATCATTAACGATTAAACGTGCGTAATATGCAACTCCACTCTTTGCTATGCGAAGTGTACCGCATTTCGCATTTTATATATATGTATACATACATATATGTTATCTGCTCGATAAATGCTCGAATTAGCTTTAGTGTGCATTTATTTAACGTGCAACTGAGCAGCATCAAATATATCAAAAGATACATATTACGTACACATCTGGATTAAATATTAACTGTTATTTACTATGCTATTTTGACATGTCAGATTTATTTAACGCAGTGAAAGAGGCTTAGTCCAGTTAATTTTGATAGGCTGAAATAACATTTGAGAGAGAATAGACTTTTTCGTTCAAAATATTTTTATATTGAATGCTACATGTTTATTCAGATCAGATTTATATAGAACACGATAAATAGCAAAAGTTATGTGTGCAAAAATTATGCATTTGCATGTGTGTAGAGTTATTTGCAAGAATGTTTATAAAAACAAATTGACATTTGGATATTTCGCAATCTTTACGAAGATTGCAGTTAAGCTAATGCAAATTGAAACCAATTGTGCTTATATCTAACATTATTTGAGTATCAATGTCGAATTAGCTGAGAATTTAATAATCGGATGTTTCGATTAACGAGCGGAAATGTGGCTTTATTATTGATTTATGCGCGCGCGTTGTATTATCATCCGCGCGGAAACACGCAAATTAAACGCTTCTCACGAGAATTTCCGGGACAAGAGGCGAAACAATTTTCCTGGTACTTCTACCACGAGAAATCAAATTTAAACGTCAGACATAGTTAAGTAGTATTAATTTATATCTCGAATTTCTCGCTAATTGGTAGAAAAGTAATAAATTCAAAATTATATAACAACAAATTAACGATAAATTAATACTTTTTGATCTGAATTTAATTTTTCGCGTCGGGGATATCGGGTTAACGGGGATGAAAATCTGCATCCGTATGACGGGCAGAAGCTCTCTCATAAAGTATACACTCGCTATATTCAACGATGCGACTGCACCGGCCCGATAAACCGATATAATCCGCCGTTCGGAGTCGGTAGCGTTGCTTAGTCAACAAAGGGAGACGAAACGGTGCGGTGGTGGGCCTCGTCATCATTGCTCGGGGGATTCGAAATAGAGAGAGAGAGAACGAAAGAGGGGCCCGTCAACGCCGAAGCCGCATCATCGTCGTCACGGTGCTTTTTAATCGTCGCGTCTCCGCAAAAGAGCAGATCAAACGCCTCGTGCGCAGAAAATTACACGGGCCGAATACGAGTGAAACAGGAGAGTTACATAGGAAGGAGAACGAGATCGAGAGAGGGAAAGAGAGGAAAAACGATAGGGAGAGATCCGCAGAGGGAGGCAGAAATCGATTCGTGATGGGTCGTGAGCTACGGCCTTCCCCCATTCGTACCCTCTCCAATTATTCGCCCGCGCGACATTAATTAAGCAAGATAATTTGCTCTCGTACCGCGCGCTGCCCAATATGGCATCCACGGCTACGTCGGCCTTCTCGCGTTCATATTTTAATGATTCGAGTACGCCCGAGGGTTCGTTCTAGTTGGAAATGTAATTTCGATATAAAGAGGAAAAGAAAGAGAGATATAGTGGAAAAAGCGTTTATATATTATTACGTTCGCGTCCATCTGCGTGAGTATTTTTACGCGTGTTGGCAACGCGCAAAATGACGGATGGAGGAATTTAAAAAAAAATTAATTAATTAATAAAGCGAGAATCTGGCGTCTAAACGAGAAATGAATAAATTTACAGGAAAAAATGTATATGTTCACGAGTGTTGAAGGAAACCAAAGAGAGCGACGCGAGACGATGGGAAAGAAATAAACGAGAAAGAGAAACGGTACGAGTGCATCGTTAGCGTGTCGGCGGCGACTCGTTATCATGTATCGCTTCGTAATTACAATTATACGCAGTTGCCAAGCCGGGAAACGATGCAGAATGTACCGGGGGCGAGTGCATTGAGCGCTGCTTAATATCGACGCAACACCGATTTCATTTAGTAATTGCAATAAACATAGCAAACAAATGCAGCGTTGTTTGTTTCGATGTTCTTTGTTTCACGTTACTTTGATTTTCATCTAATCGGCGAAATTTTTAATGAACGATATTCATGAATTTAATGAGTATATTATATGTACTGTACGTTTTTAATATGGGATTTAAAATGGGAGAAAATATGTTTTCTATATCTTCCTCTCGAGTTTATATAAATGAGTTTTCGTATACAATTTTAATCTATGTTGCATCATTTTAAATTCAAAGTACAATACAACAATTTCCAATAAAATAGTTTACGCGCGACTCTTTATTGCAGAATAAAAGCGATAAATGAGAAATAACCAATTTTGCGCAAAATCGGGGATATTCGAGTACTAACTATAATATATGTAATATATACATATAATAATAAACGCGACAGGCGATGTGTCATTTAAAATTATCAGGCAATTTCTAATTCTCCACATGTAAGAAGACGAATTTATTAAAGTTTAACGGTGACATTGACAGAGCATGTCCAATCGTTAATTAACTCGGGTCTATTATTAATATGATATTCTTGACAGCAATTACACGGTACTTGCGGGCAATTATCTATGAAATATGAACATCCCGTCTTACAATTAAAAGAAACAAATAAAAGAAAAGGCGATTTTTATAATGAAAATTATTTATTCATTTATTATTAATTGCTGACTCTTAATATTACGCTCGTTTAGATCTTTTTTTTATATTAATAAGAATAGAAAAATATAGTATGCCATACCAGATAGTGTGGTGTGAGATAATATGCCATGTAGTGCTTAAAGGATTAAGAACAAGAAAAATAGTATGCATATTGTATGCAATAGTATGCACGTGCAAAGTTAGCCGCGCAAGTATATGTATATATATTCACGAAGCGTTCGTTACATAACCATTTTAGTCAATCCTTTAAACCACGTGGTTTAATGCCTAAATCTCTCCGTCACGTAGGGAGAGCATGGCGTGTAAGCACGAGCGGCAGAGTTCTCCCACATCGCGTATTTTCGTTTCATTAAATTTAATGACCGACTATATTTCGGTGTATCCGGCGACGAGTCCTTTTCGGGACAGTAATTTGCGTTTCGGAGGGGTTTATCGAACGGACGATGAAAATACAGTTTCGGGCAGTTTAGCGTCCAAATGGGAGACAAAACTCTCATCGTTACTTTCCGCTTTTCCCTGGTTCGCGACGGAATCAATTAGACAGTCGCCCGGGCGATTGATCGATAAATACGTCGTCGGAGTATTAAATGCGGAACGAGATAAATGCGTCTATAAAATTTAGCATCGAAACGACGGATTGATGCATGCGTGTGTGGCTACAGATAATAATTACTTAAATCAATTAGTGTCGCGGCAAATATCGAGCCATGCGGCAAACGAATATGTCGAATATATTTATCCGCAATTTATTTGCAAATATAATAACCTTTAATTAGGTCCGGAATCGATTAACGTTTCTCATTAACATTCAATTATGCATTAACAACAATGCTTATGAAGTACATCCTGATTCGATTGAAATTCCAATGATTGCAATGGGATACTAAATAATCATTAATTATCATTCACAACGATACACACAACTTGATCTAATATAATCAAAATTAATTGCGCGTATTTGATGATATATTCTATTTTCACGAAATCGAAATCAGTGTTTCTGATGTACAGTATTGACGTAAACAATACATGACACAGAAAAATATACTTTGCCTCCGGCAGTGGAATAACAATATTCAGTTTGTTGAATTTCCATTTTTCTACATTGAATATCAATTCATCGATTGTTTTAAGTGTGCTTAAATAAATTATTTTCTTTTATTAAATTACTCAATCAAAGTATTTTTTTATGCTTTTTTATATTTATATTTCATTATTTATATTTATATTTCAAAAAAATATTTAATAAAGCTTTATTAAACTGTATTCTATTAAAATATTCTTTATAAGATTACATTTAGGATCAAAAAGCATTATTTTAAAAATTGACGCACTAATGTGCACTCAATTTTAAATGTGTTCAGTACACATTTACGCTATACTTAACACTTTCGGATTCCGCGATATTGCGAAACAAAATATGCTTTGAGACGATGAGATAGCTTCGAGCAAGGGTTAAACCCCAAGCAGAAAAACATGAAATCGATGAATAGAATCAACGCAAATCGCATTCGCTCCAACTCTTGTCTCATAGCACATATATGTCTTCAAAATGTAGAAAAAAAGATCGTAACGTTCGATAGACTACAATGAAGACACCATATGGTGTATGTGTGAGACAAGAGAAGGAACTAAACAAAGATAAAATAATACCCTGCACTTATCAAACAATCGATCGAAAGCATCGGGGATCAAATATATTTGATCTTCTAGCAGAGAAAGAGTTAAAAAAATATTATCGAAATAATTTAATTTTTTTATAAGAATTGTAACAAAAATGTG